GTGAACGCAGGGAGGATCCATCACTCACCTTCTGGCTCACCCTATGATGGGGATGAAGTCTGGAGGAGAACTGACGGTTTCCTCTTTTTATACCAAAACGCTCCCAATACGCCATTATACAGTAGCTGGAAGTTAGAAACACGTTCAGCACTCGTCCGGAACATGCCAGATACGTTGATATGCGTTTGAGAGAAGTTCTGGATAAGTTACGCAGAAGTTACGAACAATATATATACTATAGGTTTTGATCATCTAGACACCAGGACTAAAGGGCTGGTTATCCTCCCGCAGCAGTGTGTCGCAGTGAGCGTATCACAGATATTTTTTATTTATGCCCAATATTGAAGCGTGGTCTGCACTGTGTTATTCCACGCCACAACACAAGAGGGACAATGAGGAACTAGCTGTGTGACAACGGAGGGACATGAGGGCCAAAAAGAGCGAGGATCCAGGTGGAAAAAGGGTCCATCGCGCACCTCACTCTTCAAGCTGGTGCAACTTCACGACTCGTTTTCCACAAAATCATATAAACAAAACAAGCCGGTAAGGTAGCAAACAGGAAATACGCATAGTGTAGAGCCGATGTAGATTTGACCAATCAGAGGCCTCCTGTCTGCGGTCACCTACAATTTTAGAGAGGTGCAGCAGAGTGTCTGCGGAAGGGGCAGAGGCATATTTGCATTCACTGCAACACACACAGACGACCTGACTTCTGAGTATAAATCAGGATTCATGAGTAACTTGTCAACGATCAGATAATGTACCAGTAACTAATGCCCCACGTATGGCATATGCTGGCATACATACTTGCCGGATTGTCAACGTGCGCCGGCGTGCTCATAACTTAAACAAAACATTGCCATAACTTATCCAACGTATGCCAGAGTTTTAGGCAGATTTTTCGTACCTCAGACATGATGGTTTAAATGGTCAAGGTGTGACAGGAGCTTAAAAAAGGGCTGAGGATCATATCAGTGCAATGTGGCAATCAGCCCTCTGGTGCTTTTCCGTACCGACGGGGCAATGGAAATCTGACTAGGTCAGATGTAACGTATACATATCGCTTTAACAAGGGCAAGGTCTAACGGATCATATTGTTACCAAATAATAAATAATTTATAATAAACATGTTCCCCAACTGGAAAAAAAACAATATTTAGTCGAAGAAATGTTCATTTCATGTAAAGGGTAACAAAAACAAAACAAAAGGTTAAATAGTGGGACTAAATAACTTAAAACCAAACTGTCTCTGTGACCTTACTTGTTGTAATTTTTAAGCTGCAGATGGACACAGAGCTCTGCACATAAACCATCTGGGTGTGTACAGGTTGGGAACAACGCTGGATTTGTTCTTTACATGTGTGGGCTGAGCCGAAGGCGCTAAAAGTAGGAATATATGTAGCTTCACACACCTAGAGGTTAATATGTGAGGTCTTTAGTGTGGACCTGCACAACTGAACACAAACAAGCTCTGTGCATCTAAAACATGAGTCCAAACTTAGATTTCACCTTTACAAGAAATGACTGAATGTAAAGTTGAAACCTTTTTCAACTAGAGGGAAAAAGTAATGAGGAAAAAATGTCATTATTTACCGTGTCTGAGTCGATAGGTTGATACAGGAAATCTAAAGCTTGTTGAAACACAGGAACCTTCTGCACAAACATCTGCTGGTGAAAGTCCTGGAGGATCTGCAAATATGTA